TATTCCCCTCCATCTTATTTTCCCCTCTGTTTATTATATTCTCTCTCTCCCTTCACCCTGTCCCTCCTGAAAAGTGTTTTGCTTCTGACTACCCCTCCCCCAATCTGCCCTCCCTTCTATCGCAGCCACCCTTCTCTTATCCTCTTTCCCTCCTACTTTTCTGTAGGGTAGGATAGATTTCTATACCCAAATGAGTGTGTGTTATTTCTTCTTTGAGCCAGTTCTGATGAGAGTAAGGTTCACTCCTCCCTCTTCCCCTCCACTGTAAAAGCTTTTTCTTACCTCTTTTATGTGAGATAATTTGCCCCATTCTACCTTTCCCTTTCCCTTTCTCCCTTTGCATTCCTTTCTCACCCCTTAATTTTATTCTTTTAGATAATATCCCTTCATATTCCACTCACACCTATGCCTTCTGTCTATATATACTCCTTCTAACTGCCCCCAAAATGAGAAAGTGCTTATGAGTTACAAGTATCATTTTCCCATGTAGGATTGTAAACAGTTTAACCTTATTAAGTCATTTATGATTTCCCTTTCCTGTTTACCTTTTTATGCTTCTCTTGAGTCTTGTATTTGAAAGTTAGATTTTTCCAGTCAGCTCTGGTCTTTTCATCAAGAATGCTTGAAAGTCCTCTATTTCATTGAATGTACATTTTTTCCCCTGAAGTATTATACTCAGTTTTTCTGGGTAGGTGATTCTTGGTTGTAATTCTAGTTCCTTTGCCTTCCAGGATATCTTATTCCAAGCCCTCTGATCCTTTAATGTAGAAGCTGCTAGATCTTGTGTTATCCTGACTGTGGCACTAGGATACTTGAATTATTTCTTTCTGGCTGCTTGTGATATTTTTTCCTTGACCTGGGAACTCTGGAATTTGGGTATAATATTCCTGACAGTTTTCATTTTGGGATCTCTTTCAGGAGGTGATCAGTGGATTCTTTCAATTTCTATTTTATTCTCTGGTTCTAGAATATCAGGACAATTTTCCTTGATAATTTCTTGAAAGATGATGTCTAGGCTTGTTTTTTTTTTTTTTGGTATCATGGCTCTCAGGTAGTCCAATAATTTTTAAATTCTCTCTCCTGGATCTATTTTCCAGTTCAGTTATTTTCCAGTGAGATGTTTCCCATTGTAATCTATTTTTTCATTCTTTTGGTTTTGTTTTATTGTTTCTTGATTTCTCATAAAGTCATTAGCTTCCATTTACTCAATTCTGATTTTTAAAGAATTATTTTCTTCAGTGAGCTTCTGTATCTCCTTTTCCATTTGGCCATTTCTGCTTTTTAAGGCATTCTTCTCCTCATTGGTTTTTTATACCTCCTTTACCATTTGGCCGGGTCTGTTTTTTAAGGTGTTATTTCCTTCAGTATTTTTTGTGTGCGTGTCTCCTTTACCAAGCTATTGACTTTTTTCATGATTTTCTTGTGTCACTCTCATTTTTCTTCTCAATTTTTCCTCTGCTTCTCTTACTTGATTTTCAAAATCCTTTTTGAGCTCTTGCATGGCCTGAGACAAATTCATATTTTTCTTGGAGGCTTTGAATGTTGGAGCTTTGACTTTGTTATCTTCTTTTGAATGTGTTTTGATCTTCCTTGTCCCATAGTAACTTTCTGTGGTCAGAATTTTTTTCTGTTATTTGCTCATTTTCCCAGACTATTTCTTGTTAACTCTTTGTTAAAGTAGGGCACTGTTTCCAGGGTAGAGGTGCACTGTCCCAAGCTTCAGGGTTTTTGTACAGCTGTTTTCAGAGATACTTCTAGGAACCTGTAAGTTTTCAGATCTTGCAAGGTAGTATGATCTAATGAGAGGTGTTTACTCCTCTCCTGGCCTGTGCTCAGGTCTGTGAGTGACCACAAGCGCTCTTTTCTGCCCTGGAAATGTGATAAGGGTCCCTGTTGCACTGCAGCCCACAAGCTCTGGTGTGCTAGTGTTTCTCCTTGCCCTGGGACTGCCACATAGGCTTACTACCCAGATCCAAATATGGGCAAAGCAACAGAGTCCTGCCTGCAGTGCTAGCAAAGAGACCCCTATAATCTCCTTCTGATCATTTTTTCGACTCCCTTACCATCTGTGGACTGAGAGCTCCAGAAGCAGCCACTGCTGCTGAAGATTCAGTGACTCCAAGGCCTGCTCCTGGTTTGCTGAGGTCTGGTCTGTGCTGGTACCACCTGCGCTGGAATGTGCTCCACTCTTGCCCTGGTACGACAGATATCTCCCACTGACCTTCTAAGTTGTGTTTGGCTGGAAAATTATTTCACCCTGTCCTTTTGTGAGTTCTGCTGATCCAGGAATTGTTTTAAGGCATTGTTTAAAGGTGTTCAGAGGGGTTTTGGGGAGAGCTCAGGAGAGTCACTGCTTTTTCTCTGCCATCTTGGCTCTATCTCGGAGCAAGGGATTCTAAGAGGCCAAGCTTGGGATGGAGTACATTCTAGGCATGTGAGGCATGGCCTATGTGTAGGCATGGAGACAGAAGGTAGAATGTTGTATATGAGAGACAAGTAAGCCACATCAACTGGACCATAGACCCTGTTATGGTCCATCAAGGTAGATTGAGGCAGAGAGGGAATTTAAAAAGTCCAGAACTGCCTGTAAGATAAAATACACATTCTCAACCTTGAATTCTGTTTTGCAAATGTTGGTTTAAGGCCTAACCTGGCTCTTCCCGGCCATATTACCTCCTTTGGGTACTCTAGGTTCCAAGGCACAGGGTAGCAGACAGGGACAATGTGGTATAGTGGAAAGAGAACTGGATTTGGAGTCAAAGACCCTGGCTTCAAATTCTGCCTCTGTGGCTTATTTACCTGTATAAGGAAAGAAGAGAATGGAGCATTTATTAAGTGTGTAATATGGTTCAGGCACTGTACTAAACCATTTCAAATATCTCTTTTGTAAATATATAAAATGTATAAATATCCTTTGATCAAATATTTACAGCTATTATCTCATTTTCTCTGAGTCTGTTTTCTTATCCGTAAAATAAGGGGGTCAGACTATGTGACTTCTGAGGTCTTTTCCATTTCCAGATCAATGAGTTAGTGATTCATTTCTCTTTTATTGACTGCCCTGTTGACAGTCTTAGTGACTGCAAGTTTCTCATCCACCCGTTCTGCCAGAGGAAGTCTTCACATGTGTTCTTGCCGCTGGACTTTGATGAATCTGGAAGGGAGAATGGGGCTGATGACTTTGTGTAGCTCTGCCTCATTTAAATCCAGTTCATGCACAAGTCAAGACATTGCTGTGATGTTATTGATCCTCTGTAAAAACGAAGGACAAACATGTGGAGTTGAGCTATAACTGGCCTGATATCCACATTGTAAGTGTGGTCATTCTTTGGGCCCTGGTATAGTAACTTCAACAAACACTTACAAAGCATAGGTCACTGTACTAGGCACTGGTCTTACAAAGATAATAGATGCCTTCAAGGAACTTGCGTCTTACTGGGATATGTAGTATGTAATTGTCTTTAAAGAGAATCTAGAAAGATCTCTTCCATGAAACCTTCCTTGACTGCTGCAATGTGAAGTGATCTCTCTTGCTTTTGACCTCTTAAAATAATTATCTCTATCTCTCATTTAACATTAGTTATATGCTTCCTTGTGATATCTCTTTGATTGTCTTGAACTGTTATTTAAATTTTATATTATTTGTTTCATGAGTAACCAGGTGGTACAGTAGATAAAGTGTTGGGCCTGGAATGAGGAAGACTTATCTTCCTGAGTTCAAATGTGACCTCAGACAATAACTAGCTGTATGACCTGGGGCAAATCACTTAACCTTGTTTGCTTCAGTTTCCTCATCTGTAAAATGAGCTGGAGAAGGAAATGGCAAGCCACTCCAGTATCTTTGCCAAGAAAACCCCAAATGGGATCATGAAGAGTCAGATACAACTGAAACAACTGAACAAAATTATTTGTTTCATAGGTTGTGACTCTTTCTTCCCTTTTCCTTCTACCCCACAGATTGTAAGCTCCTTGGGGGCAAGAACTGAGTCTTATATTTCTTTTTATCCTCCATCACTCTCAGCATCATGCCTTGTGTATAGTAGATACTCAATATGTGTTTTTGGATTTGATCTAATTTGTACAAAGGACTTCTAGTACCCCATAATCTTCTAGTGATCTCTTACGTTCTTTGTTTCTATGTATGCTGACTTGTCTCTTAGCTCTTCAAGAGCAAGATATATTTATAAAGCTTTGAGAACTTTAGTTGGTCAGGGTGATGGATATAGGTATGTAGTGCAAGAATCAAATAAACATAGCCAACCCAAGCTGAAAAACTCCCTGCCTGGCCTGCCACTAACTTAGTACTTAAAATTTCTACCATTGGATTCATTCCTTTGGTTACCAGATGGTTCTGTTATATATAAAAAGACATAGCTAATTAGCTCATTAGCAGATTAGGAGTGATTGGTTTATCAGATTAGCTAGTTGTCAACTTGGACTCTTGGCAGCTAAATTTTAATATAGGAAATCTGAATATGAAACTACCTAAAGGACCAGTTGTAGGTCAGATATTGTAGAAGGAGATTCTGAACATCCAGGGATTAGGAGGGAAGATCCAGAGTTCTTAGAAAGACAGAGAACCAAAGGAGGTATGGAAGGGTCTCATAAAGTTCCTTCATAATTTTGTTCTTGAGATTGAGGGCTATTGCTTTCTAGACCTCTAGTCATAGCTCAGGGAAATATGTTATAAGATCATAGATTTAGACCTAGAATTCCAGCCCCCCTCATTTTACTTGAAGAAACTGAGGCCCAGAGAATTTAAGGCACTTGACCAAGGTTAAACAGATAGCAAGTAGCTGAGCTTGGATTTGGACTGCAGTCCTTTGATACTAGTGCCTGGCACACAGTAGGTGCTTAATAAATGCTTGTTGACTGACTGACTAGACTTCAGAACTCTTTCCCCTATGACAACATGGGAAAGTGTGCTGGGGCAAGGGAAAGCAGAGAGAATGTCACAAGCCTATATTTGGTGGTCTTGATCCTGCCTCATCTCGTGGCAGGTACATCGTCGCTCAGCTGAGCGCCTCCGAGAACTCTGCTGTGCGAACAGAGGCACCTTCATCAAAGTGGGCCAGCACCTCGGGGCCCTGGATTACCTGCTGCCTGAGGAGTACACAAGTACCTTGAAGGTCCTGCACAGCCAGGCCCCGCAAAGCAGCATGCAAGAGATCCGGCAGGTGATTCGAGAGGACCTGGGCAAAGAGGTATGGACTGGGCACTTGTGGGAGAACCTGGAGCAGGGTAGCAATGGGAGAATACAGCACACCCCTGGCTTTCTGAAGAGGGTCTCCCCCACAAAGAGGCACAATGTCAGGCATAGTAGGAAAAAAGCTGGATTTATAGTCAAGATATGGTTTTGAATCCTGGCGCTGCTTCTTACTTGTTGCTTAATTTCTTTATGCCTCAATTTCATCATCTGTAAAATGGGTATAAATATCCTACCGGGCTCAAATAAGGAACAAATAAGATAATGAATCCAGAGCACTTTGTAAACCATAAAGCTACACATAAGCTGCAGTTATGATGTCCTTTGGCCCATTGTTAATTTGAGTGCAGCTTTTGGTACTGAGATAGGGTACTCCTATCTGAGTGGCTGGCTAGGCCATGGGGATTTCTCCAGTTTTCCATTACTTCTGGTCAAGGCTAGTTGGATATGGTATTATTTGAGAGACTAAAAGAAGACCCCTTCCTATTCCAAAATCTCTCCTCACTCTTTACCCACCTGAAATTCTACCATTAGATATTCATTCCTCTGCATCTTAGAGGCTTTCTTTAAGAATAAGACCATTGACCCAGGTTTTGCCTCAGGAAAGTTTATAATAGTCATAGAGGTCCAGAGGGCCCTTTTCCTCCTTCTGTAGCTTGGAAGCTTTATGCTATTCCAATATATACTTCTTTACCCCAGCAGCTCATCCTACGTGAGCTTCTCCTTGTCCCACTTACCCCAGGGATAGAAATTGCCAATTATGGCTCTGCAGATATCCCTAAGAGAGGTGATGCCTTAAGTCATTTTCAATTAATACCTTAATTATTATTAGCTGGGGCATCTAGGTGGTACAATGGATACAGGGCCAGGTATGGAGTCAGGAAGACTTTTCTTCCTGAGTTCAAATCTGGCCTCAGAGACTTACTGGCTGGTTAATCCTGGGCAAGTCACTTAACCTTTGCCTCAGTTTCTCATCTGTAAAATGAACTGGAGAAGGAAATGGCAAACCACTTCAGTATCTTTGTCAAGAAAGCCCTCAAAAAAGGGGTCCCAAAGAGTCGGAGACAACTGAAAAATCATTGAACAGCCACGATTTTTAGCTGAGATTTAGCTAAGAACAAGATGGGGTAGAAAGGGGAATGAAAAGAAGTAAATGAGGAAGGAGGACCAAAGGCAGGTGTTTCTGACTCCGTGATACTGTCTGAGACCAGTCTTAGCTCCTCAAGTCAGCACAAAGCTGGTTCTGGGCCAACAGAATTGAGACAAAGACATCTGTAAGTCTGATGACTTTGGGGCCTGGAAAAATTTGGAGTATGTGAGACAGTCAGACTTGTTGATTCTGAAACCTGAGGGACCTGGAACACAAGAGGTAAGTTTGATTGGCCTTCTGACCTTCTTGTTTCTAAGCCATGTGGGCCTAAACTTTGGTGATTTGGGAGAGAATGAGTAAGGAGGGAAGAGACACGTGGCTGGATGTAGGTCAGGAAGATGGGGGTCAGGAACAAGGGGTCACAGGCAGAGGGGAGGGGATTGGCACGGTGCCTACCCACGAACTGCTCTGCCTCCTGCCAAGCCTGTCAGCCTTCTGTTTCTAGCAGAACCAATTTCACCCCCAAATTAAAACTAAATAAATCACTTTAATAACAGTGTAAATCGTGTCTCTGCTCGCATGTGGCAGCACAGTAGGGGTGGGTGTGAGGGAGAGGGAGAGAAGGGAAAAAAGAGATTAACGCTTTCACACTAGTCCCTGCTGCTTTGTTTCCAGAAGAGGGGCCATGAGAAACAGGGAGGAAGGCATTTGAAAATATAGGATTCCTTCAGGCTAGGCAAGGATGCAACCAGCATCTCTGAGTGCCTGCAGACAGGACTGGTCAGGGGAAATCAGGCCTCTTCTCCAGCTGGGCTGCGCTTCCCTAGCTCTCTTTATACACAGGAATTTGACATTGTAAAAGGACACTGAAACCAGGCTGTATCTTTAGGGACGCCTTGTCTTCATTATCCCAATCTCTTCCTTGCCCAGGCTCTTTCACAGGCTCTCTCTGCCCGGGTAGCGTTCACAGGCATCTTGTCTCAGGAGACATCCAAAGTCCATGTCAGACCTGGGAGGGGATGGAGGTCTTTTCAGAATGCCCTAAGGCTCCACCTTGCTCTGGTTCTAGGGATCTCAGAGACTCCTGACTACCCCCGTCCTGGACCCCACCTTCCCCCACTTACATGTTCCCCTCTTCCCTGTCTCCCCAAAGATGTTTTTTTCTCTTCCACCCTAGGGAGATGACATTTGTTTCCCGCTGACATACTTTGCCTGGGTGGGTTGGATTGGGTGACATTTTCTTAGTCTGTGGGTGGAGGGGAGGTGAAGAGGTACTATGTGGGAAGCAGGGTAGGTGAATATGGGGGTGTCAGGGCGGGGGACAAAGATGTTTGTGTCTCCACCTCCCTCCTCCAACAGTTCTCTAGCAATCCTGTTTTCTGGTGAATATTTCCTATCATTAAGAACACATTTAGAATACCCCTTCAATAATAAGTTTCATACCTATATTAACCTGGTATGGGTGTCTATCGAAATAAACTGATCTGGTAACAGGAAGCAGTGGGGCACAGCAGAACAGGTTCTAGACTGAGAGTTAGGAAGACTTGGGTTCAAATATCCTACCTCAAACACATAGCTCTGTGACCCAGGGCAAGGCACTGAACTGCTCTGGTCGGTTTCCTCATTTGTAAAATGAAGGGGTTGGACTCAGTGGTCTTTAAAGTTCCTTCCAACTTTATTTACTTATTTTGCTTAGGCAGTTGGGGTTAAGTGACTTGCCCAGGGTCACACAGCTAGTAAGTGTCAAATGTTTGGTCTGAGAATGGATTTGAACTCAGGTCCTCTTGACTTCAGGGCTGGTGCTATATCCACTGCGCCACCTAGCTGTCCCCTCCTTCCAACTTTAAAGCTATGATTTAATTCCTGGTCTTAGGGACCATATGGAAGAGGGATCTAATTCTGTTTGAACCCAGAAGTCAGAAATAGAGCTCATGAGTGGAAGGTATAATGGGGCAGATTCCAGATACAAAAATAAATCAGTGCCAGAAAATAATTCCTAACTATTAAAATTCTCCAAAATAAAATGGGCTGGCTTTATTCATCAGTTCTTAGATTTAGAATTGGAAGGTACTTTAGAGGCCATAGAGTCCAACTTTCTCATTTTACAGATGAGGAAACTGAGGCCAGCAGAAACTGAATGATTTGCCCAGGGCTATACAGTATCAGACGTTGTTTCTGAACTCAAGTAGCCCATGACTTTAAATCACTCCCTAGACAATTCCAGACCAGGCAGCAGCCACTTTGACGCTCTTCCACCTCTCATCAGAATTTGGGATTCTTGCCCTTGGGATTCTGGGAGTGCACAGATGAGCTTTTCCCTTACCATGCCCAGAAACCAGGATACCATGTCACTTCCTAGCATTGTCCAAGGTTGCCCTTGGCCACTCCTGCCCTTTCTAACTCTAGCTTCCATATGTGTATGGTCTTCCTCTATTTGGAATAGTAGCTCTTTGAAGGTAGGAACTCTTACTTGCTTATATTTATGTCCCTAGAGCTTAAAACACTGCTTAACTTAGCACATAGTAAGTATATAACAAATGTTTTTTCCTCCCTCCCTCCCTTCCTGCCTTCATCCTTTCCTCTTCATTCCTTCTTTCCATTCCTTTCCTCCTTCCTTCCTTCCTTTTCTCTTTCCCTCTCTCCATTCCTTTCCTCCTTCCTTCCTTTTTTCTTTCTTTTAAGGCAATTGGGGTTAAGTGACTTGCCCAGGGTCACACAGCTAGTAAGTGTTAAGTGTTTGGTCTGAAGTTGGATTTGAACTCAGGTCCTCCTGACTTCAGGGCTGGTGCTCTATCCACTGCGCCACCTAGCTGCTCCCCCCTTCTTCCTTCCCTTCCTCCTTTCCTCCTTTCTTCCTTCCTTTTCTCCTTCCTTCCCCTCCTAGCATTTTTTCTACTTTGGGATGTTACCTCTTAGGAAACAGTGGAATACTGGGTCTTTAAGAAGGGTTTGGATGATTACCTTTTTGGAAGAGTTAAAATGAATTTATGTTTCCCTTAAGGGTTAGACTAAATTACCTATAAGATTCCCTTCCAAGTCTAAGATTCTGTAATTCCATGTTAGTAGGCTGCAATTTCATGTACATTAAGGAAAGAGCTGAAGACTGGCTTGCATCACTGTCCTGTTTCTAGATATAGAGTCCTCCTCTTCCCCGCCCCCTGCCCCATCTGAAATGGCAAGGTTGGAATGACCTTATTTCAGCTCTCAAACTGTATCCCTTGAGTTGACTGTGCCACAGAGTGAGATGCTGACTGGACAGGACCAGGTGCTGGTCCATTTCTCCCTGTGCTTTTTTATTTGATTTGGTTTGTGTTGGCTTAGGGCTGACTCGGGATTTCCCCCAGGATTGTTGTGCTTCCCAGGAAGTCAAGATCGACTTCAAGTCACTCCTGCTCCCAAAGACCCAAAATAAATAGGATAGAGACTGAGGCCCTTACCCTCTAGGGAAGTGAGATTTGCAATTTATTGGATTCATTGTGATTCCACTTGGTGCTATGTCATGCTGTACCCTGACTCCTGGTCCCTTGGAAGAATAAACCCCTAGAATGAAGGTGAGAGAAGGAGAAGGTATGTAAAACGGATGCCACCTCGTAGGGCACTTGAGCTCTGAGATTTAGAGGGGTTGTATCTGAGGTGAGGGAGGTGGTCCGTTATGCACTAGAAATCAGAAAGTGGGTTTTCCATTTGCCTTTGTCGACTACCTGATTTTGGACAAGTCACGTAACATCTTTGGGCCTCCAAGAAAATGAAAACATTGGACAAGATGATGTTTAGAATCTCTTCAAGTTCTAACATCCTGAGTCCCTTGGGTAGCCTCTGACAAGCCCTTACCCTGACCCAGCCCCCAGAGAATTTTACCTGAGTGCCTTGGATCGTATTAGGCCATTGTCGTGTCCCAGAGCAGTTGA